ATTTCTTAATACTCCCAATCCATCCATTGATTTATCTGTCAGCCAATCGATGACACCTTTCTTCAAGCATTCGGGTAATCAAGAGCGAGGTTAACGGTAAAATCACGTTTATCATCAATCGATTAACATAATAAAGGAGAGAGAGAGAGGAGTGTGAAGAGGTCGCACACTTTTTTTGCTCTTTCTTATTGATTTTTTTTTAAAATATATATTAAAGTGAGAATCAGTGTTGCCATATATAGAAAGAGGTGATGTCACTTTTTTTTATTTTGGATTTTTTGTTTTTATAAGAATCTATAGGAGAATGCTAGGTGGGTATTGCGAAGTGGAATTGAAGGTTAGCAACATTTTTTTTCATCTATTTAATAGAATCATAAGAGATCAGTGTTGCCAGTAGAAAGAGGTTCGCAACCTTTTTATTTTTTTTTGATTTTTTTAAAAGAATCTAAGGAGAATCAGTGTTGCCAGTGAAAGGGTCAGCAACTTTTATTTTATTTTTTTTTTTTAAGAATATATGGAATCTAATGTGTGTCGCAGTGGAAAGATGGTTCGCAACGCTTTTTATTTTTATTTTTTTTATAGAATCAAAGGAGAATCAGTGTTGCCAGTGAAAGAGGTCGCAACTTTTTTCTCTTTTGATTTTTTAAAGAATCCATAAGATGAAGGCAGTGTAATGCCATAGTGAAAGTAGGTCGGGCACTTTTTCTTTTTGTATTTTTGTGCAAAGAGCTTAAGGAGATGCAGTGTTGCCAGTGAAATAGAGGTCGCGATCTGTTTTTTTTTTGTTGTTTTTATAGTAATCTAAGGAGATCAGTGTTTGTCGAGTGAAAGAGGTTCGTCTCTTCTTTTTTGATTTTTTAAAGAATATCAGGAGAATGGCAGTGTTGCCATGTTGGAAAGAGGTCCGCAACTTTTTTTTTTTTTTTTTTTTAGACTCTAAGGAGAATCAGTGTTGCCAGATAGTGGACAGGTCGTACTTTTTTTTTTTTTTTTTTTTTTTTTTTGTTTTTTTTTTTTAAGCAATCAATAAGAGAACTTCAGTGTTGCACAAGTGAAAGGAGGTCGACATTTTTTTTTTTTTTTGTGTTTTTTTTATTAGATCTAAGGAGAGATATCAGTGTTGCCAGTGAAAGAGGTCGCAACTTTTTGTTTCATTTTTTATAGAATCATAAGAGGAATCAGTGTTGGGCAGTTGAAAGAGGTCGAAATTTTTTTTCTCTCTGTGATTTTTTTTATGTGTATGATATCTAAGGAGAATCAGTGTTGCCAGTGAAAGAGGTTCGGGCTACGCTGTTTTTTGTTGTGTTGGTGTATGTTTGTTGTGTTGTTGTTGTTTAGGTGTTGCTTAGTGGAGTGATGATGTGTAGTGTGTGTTGTGTGTGGTGTGTAGTTGTTGATTGTGATGGGGTGGCGTGTTCTGTTTTGCGTCTCTGAGAATCAAATAGAGGAGAATGCTGGTGTGTTGTGCGCTAGACCGTGCGAGGTAGGGTTCGTGCGACACCATTTGTTTGGTTTGTTGTGTTTTTGTTGTGTTGTTGTGTTTGATAGAATGATAGGATGATAGATGATAGATAAGTGATGCTTAGTGTAGAGAGTAGTGTGGTTTCATGGTGTGTTTGATTTGTCAGTATATGCTCGCATTAAGAGAGGATCGCCATATGCCATATTTGTGGATTTACAGATTCTATCTTGTGTTGTGTGTCTGTGATAGAATGTCGTACGTCAGAGTGATACATGTGGTTGCCGAGTTCAGGACCTGAAGGGCGTCATCTCTTGTGTTTTGCTGTGTTTTCTCTTGTTAGATTTTTTGAGAGGCTCATATGACAGACTGAGATTCAGTCTTTGTCTTGTCAATTGTGGTAGATACGCTGTCCATCCGATGCATCTGGGTTTATTGCCCAGTGGCGGCTCCAGGTTCGAAATCTTTTTTTCAGCTCTCATATTGTGAGTTTGATTTAGATGGTTTTTGTTTGTCTAATATGAGCTGGTGTAGAGATGGCACAATACCAGTGAGATGTGGTCACAGTGGCTCATACGTGTGACAAGAAAAATTAGAAGGTACGAAGATTAATGTTTCTTTTGGTTTTTAATTTGGTCACCTATAACAGTTTTTCAGGATAGATAATTTATTCTCGGATTTTATTTAATTGTGTAGAACTGGTCTAGGTTCAGTATGGTGTTGTTATAGCGATCTGGTGGTAATTTGTCCAATATAGACTTTGCTTGGTGATTGTGGTATGTTCGGAATATTATAGAATTTTGAAAATTAGGCGAGTGTTAGATTATAAATGGTTGATGGATGAACAGGATGATTGGGGCTATATATAATGAAGGATACGATGGAGGGATTAATATCTCAACCTGCAGCGGGTTCTCTCGCACAGTGAATTTGCTTGAACATATGTACAGCTCGTTTCTGCTCGGATGATTTGTCTATGTGCAAGAGGAAAGATTTAAAAATAGAGAATTATTCGTCGTATATCGAAATATTCCCGACAATACACCTTTTGCAGACATATATCATCATCACAGCTTGTACATCTCTATTCTGACAATATCATAACACTATGTCACTACTAACATTGAATCTCAGTTATGGAATTTTTCAATTTATAACAAAAGCGTAATAACCCATATGCTATCAAACCCAAAAACTGCTTGGTATATTGATTCTTGTGATCTTCATTTATAACAAAAGCTAATACCATATGCTATCAAACCTAAAACTGGAAACTATGTCCCATCTTGTGTAGTATTTATTGATGTTTCAACCTTGATCTTTTTATATCTAAGGACATGAGCGATATACATTTGTTATGACAATACTATACTAAATTATTCCTCTCTTTAAACAGATTCCAACCCTAATCATATATGGATCTAGGGACCAAAGTCTGGGTGTGGAGTCTCGAAAAAACCTGATCAACATCCCAACATCTCAGGCAGTAGAGCTACCTGATGCAAAGCACCCAGCTTATCTGGATAGGCCCAACCAGTTTCATACTCTGCTCTATAACTTCATTAAGCAAGTCCATGCCCATAAAGTCTAGTTTAGTATTCCTTCAGTATGTTTTGTTGATTTTTTTTCTTCTTTAACTATAATTCCTAACCCTTCAGGATTTTGTGCTACGGATTATTTTATAAAATGCATGTAGATATTTAGATATATCAGAGTATATAAAAAAAAACTCAATAATATGACAATAAACAACAAAGATTCAGGGCCATTGCATTACAATCCATCTCATGTTTTTTTCACCATGAGATTGCCCATTTCATTACATCTCCATTTTCTTAGCACAATTCAGACAAATTAATAACAATTTGAACCCATAAAACTAATCATTCATTCTGCTAGTTCTCACTATTTAATCACTTATGATTCAGCCACACTCACAGCGCATATCAACCATAAAATTGCTACTTTATAACCATACACACACGATTCACGTAACACTCACACTCAAACTCGAATCAACTATCATCATATCAGAATGACATAAATCTCACACGTAGCACAAACCACACAAGAAGCTACTGCGTGTACACAATGCATTGCACACCTTCCTCGAAGATCACACTCTCTAACGCGCTTCTGGATATCAGACTTTTATATTAAAGTGCAGGGTTACGTTAGTTTCTCGGATCTGTGCAAGGAATTTGTTTGGCATAGTAAGAATTATCTGATATAGATCATTTGATATATGACCTGAAAAAAATGCCGCGATACTAATTATAATCAAAATACTTGAACAGTTTGGGCAAAATACTGTTGTGTAAAAGTACGATATAAAAGGAAGAGAGAAGAGTGTTCATATTCAAGGAATATGTGTTTGTGATTGAACAAAGAGCACAACAACGATAGAATATGAAGGCTCTATCAGATGTGGTACACTTTGTAATGCTCAGCATATAGCATACTGTACACGGTGTGCTCATTGCCTGAGGCAAAATCCTCTACAGATCTGCTCTTAATAGCCTGTCACAGCTAGAAGGCATGGATGAGACCGAGAGTTGTCATGTCTGTGTTTTTCGTAAGAAATGTGCCACTACTGTATTGTATGAGAATATAGAATTTATTCAGTGGTTTGTGCTCGGTTATATAAAGGTGTGGGCAACGTATGGATTGTTCCGTATACTGATCGTATAATATATAGTGTGATGCTCTATTCGTTATGCTGATTATGCTTTTGTGGCTGAATACATGTATCTATCTATCTATCTTAGAAGATCCTTATCTGTACTTATATTCATATGTTTACTTGAATACTGTGTTTGTGATGTGTGGTGTGTGCTAGTGTGTGTGCGTGTGTGTGTGTGTGTGTGTGTGTGAGAGAGAGTGTGTGTGTGTGTCGTGGTGTGTGTGTGTGTTTGTGTATGTGTGTGTTGGCGCGTGCGTGCGTGTGTAGTTGTTAGTGTGTGTGATGTGAGAATCTGTGCTAACATGAAAAACAACTGTAGAAGTGGTGAGATAGGAAACAAAGAAACAGCAACACAACAGGACTCACTAGCCTAGCTGCTACGGTGCTCGACTATTCTCACTCTGACGCTGTCTCTACTCGCACCTTCGATTACGTTCTGCATTGCGCATTTGTCTTCCGTTTATGGCAGTTACCACACCTGGCACTGTGGTGTGTGCATGTATAACGCCACACACACACACACACAACCTGAAACAATCGACTCTATCGGATATAACATCAACTCACTACACACACACAAACACACACACATACATAACATACATAGCATACATCATACATCACATACATCAATATAATATATATATATTTTATATTACATATATTATATCACACACACACTCACACAGATATTACACACACACACATACACACTACACATATACTCACAACACACAGTAAATTAATGTACACTAAGTATTTATATGGTTATATATATATATATATTATTAGATATATAATTAATATTATTATAATATAATCCCAAGGATAACCAAATGAAAAAGCAGAAAGAAGATGGTGGCAATGGTGGTTTGTCCTTTGGTTCGGGATATTGTTTCAGGTGAGAATTTGGACTGCACTTTAGTTGAGATACTTTTTTTCAAATATCTTTTGTTTCACAGATAGACACATGACACAACGACTCACTTCATAGCATTATCTCCCATCACCCACTCACACACACACTACACACTCATACAAACACACACACACACTCCAACATATAATAACTAAGTGAGAAATAAAAATAACAAGGACTATTATTTTTACACTAATAAGAAAATCCTAAGACTCAGTTATGTAAGGTTAATTTTGTTTATGTCTGAATAAACTGTAGTTATATTTTAAGTACAAAACTAAGTTGGGTAGATTATAATAAGTATTATATATACATCATAACAACACAAAGAGAACTAAGGATTTAGATGATGGCAAGGTTGGTGCTTCAGACAGTGATCACAGCCTCCCTGCAGCCCGCTGCTTGCTTGTCGTTTGTGGTCAGAAAGGCCATTTAAAATATAGGAAGTGATGTGTGTTCTACAATACATGCTAAACGGTGCAGATGACGGTGTAGATATGCAGATGAGATGTTGCGAAGGCTATGCTAACAGAGGCTGCTTTTATTAATCGGGGGAAAAGATATTGTAAATGTTTTGGTAAAAGCCGTTGGAGAATTAGCATATTATCATATTCTTTATCATTCATTTTTCTTGTTCAATTTTACTGTTTACTGCTTAAATAATAATGATGATAATAGTAATAATAATAATAAGAACGATAATAACAATAATAAAAAGATAGTGGTATCGCAGTATGCTGTAATGATAGTACATTAGTCTAGAATTATATATATACCATAACGAACTCACTAATACTAATATCACTGGTTGTACTATATACTGTAGATATACAACTACTACTACTCTCAATATACCACTATGACTACTGCTCTCGCTAACACCATAGTAGTAGTAGTCTCACTGATAATAACACTATATTACTACTACTACAATATAGCACTATATCTATTACTGTTTCTCTCCTCTACATCATAAAGGGTATTATTCTCACTGACAATAACACCGATCATGATGGTAATAAATGGTAAATGAACCAAACTCACACCAAAACTAAAGAAGAAGAAGAAGAAGAAGAAGAAGAAGAAAAAGAAGAAGAAGAAGAAGAAGAAGAAAGAAAAAGAAAATGAGAAAAAGAAAAGAAAAAGAAAAAGAAAAAGAAAAAGAAAAAGAAAAGAAAGAAAAAGAAGAAAAGAAGAGAAGAAGAAGAAAAGAAAAGAAAAAGAAAAAGAAGAAGAAGAAGAAGAAGAAGAAAAGAAAAACAAAAAGAAAAAGAAGAAGAACAAGAAGAAAAAGAAAAAAAAAAGAAAAGAAAGAAAAAAAAAAGAAAAAGAAGAAGAAGAAGAAGAAAAAAGAAAAAAGAAGAAAAAGAAAAGAAGAAAAAAAAGAAGAAGAAAAAGAGAAAAAGAAAAAGAAAGAAAAAGAAAGAAAGAAAAAAAAGAAAAAAAGAAAAAAGAAAAAGAAAAAGAAAAAGAAAAAAGAAAAAGAAAAAGAAAAAGAAAAAGAAAAAGAAAAGAAAAGAGAAAGAAAAGAACAAGAACAAAAAGAAGAACAAGAACAAGAAGAAGAAGAAAAAAAAAAAAAAATACACACCAGTCAGTTCCAAAATCTGTGAATGAATTGTGCTGCTTTAAAGGTCAGACATCGGTTGGCGAACTTAAAAGGTCAATAAACGTTTGGAATCAGCTGATTTTCTCGTAATGGTGAACGTTTTTTCTCTCTTTTTTCCACCGAAATAGTGATACGTATCCGGATGTTATTGTCATTGTTGTTATCATTTATAGCGGTAATGATTGTACGAAGAGAAATATTTAGAAAATACAGATAGAAGTAATAGTATCCAGAATAAAGGTCATTGCCATGAATACTGTAAAGGTGGTAGTGATGACGAATGTGGTGATCGTGATGTGATGACGTGATGCTGCTGATAATGATAATGATGACAATATGATGCTATGGTGATAATAATAATGATAATGGTGGAGATGATGGTCGTAATGATTATGATGATAATGATTATGATGATAGTGATATGATGACAGTGATATGATGACAGTGCTATGATGATAGTGATATGATGACAGTGATATGATGATAGTGATATGATGATAGTGATATGTGATGCTATGATGATAGTGATATGATGACAGTGATATGATGATAGTGATATAATGATAGTGATATAGTGAACATGATATGGTGATAATGCCAATGAAAGAAGATTATCAACAGCAAAACAGATAGTTGCACCAATAAAAAGATATATTCTCTGATTCAGCAATGATATAAATCACACAGAACATACGATAACCAAAAGCCTCAACTCAAGAGCACGAAGATGATGATAACAATAACAATGATAATGATAACACTTTTGATAATAAAAATGATGAAGATGGTGGTAAAAACAGTGATGATAATGATGATGATGAGGTTGGTAATGATGATGATGATGGTGATGATAATAATGTTGATGATGATGATGTCGAGGATGATGGTGATAATGATGATGATGATGATAATGATGATGTCGAGGATAATGATGATGAAAATGAAGATGATAATGATAATGATGAAGATGGTAATGGTAATGGTTATAATGACGATAATGATCATTATATTGATTATAACAACAACAATAATATTGATAATGATAATGATAACGATGATAGCGATAATGATAAGAATAACAAATGAGATAACGACAATAATGATAATCAGACACCAAGAAAAATAAATGAAATAAAAAAACGTAAGTGAAGAAGCGAAACCCGGTTTTACACTTCCTCTTCTCCTCTTCCTTTCCTCTAAGTGACTCTTCTTCCTCCGAGTACTTGCCTTGGATTCGCCGAAATTATGAGTCGCCGCGAAACCGAAAAGGTGAGGCTTTTTTTTTTTTTTTTTCTTCTTTTTTTTTTTGGCTTCGTAAAAAACTTTTTTTTTTTTTTTTTTTTTTTTTTTAGCTTCGTAAAAAACTTTTTTTTTTTTTTTTTTTTTGGCTTCGTAAAAAAAATCGCTTTTTCGAACTTTAAAAAAAAATTTAGGTCTTTTGATGGCGGGTTCTTACGTAAGGGAGTGTGGGGGTGGGGGGTGGGGGGGGTTCTCTGTCGTTTAGAGGGAATGTGGGTTTGGATTCGATTT